AATGTAGTTAGATACATTTTCTGACTCCTTCATCTTCATGCTCTCCAACTCACCACGAAGAGTTGGAGATGCACCTGCTTGACTCGGTCAGTTCCTTTGAACACTTTTTCTAAAGTGTCCCACGCTTCTTTTGAAGTAGTTGCCATTGCAATCTTCTCAAAGCTCGACTCGTCAACAACTCGGAACAACATGTATAATGCTGGCTTATCCTTTGATCGTAATTCCTTTAACGCATTGTTTTGCGCTGCCATATAACCCGTGGTATCCTTCGGTTCTTCGAAACCTTCTTCGACCACCTCCCATGCGTCTTGAGAATCGAGAAGAGCTTTCATTTGGATGCTCCAATTCTCGTAGTTCGTCTTCGTTAATCGTGGTAGCTGCATTTGTCCCATCATGTTCGTCATTGACTTTGATACCAATTTGTTGAAAATAAACAGTCCGCTCTTATACCAATTTGTAGAAAATAAAACTCGCTCTGATACTAATTTGTTAAAATAACACTCACGAAGTTGTAAAGGAGATGTCTGAGAGAGACAAGGAGACAAAGAATCCTGAAAAACACTCTTGTAATAACAAATTAATTTATACGTTTATAAAGGCTAAAAATGGCTATCCCATCAATCCACCCTTTACTAAAATGATTATTGGCCTTTCATTTTGCCTTTTTCTTTTATAGCTCAATTTCAAAAACTTATTAAAATTAAAAACTGCATTTTTCATTTAAGTTTATTCCCAACAATATCTTCATCTAGGGAGAGTTCCCCACATATTTCATGAAGGGACTTGGCCGAAATCGTGACCGAAACCGTTGATCCAAGAGTTCTTTCCCAGAACGGAGGAGAGGGAAAGTTTTTCGGCCGCCACGTTTCAACCGTCGGGAGGAGTGGCGTGTCTAGGCAGGCGGCGGACACGCGTTAGGCGACGAGTGGAGCCACGCAGCTCCATCCAGGACATGACACGCGACGTCTGAAACCGTCGACCGACCGCGTTCCATTCGTCGACCCGCTACATGTGTGATGACCCGAACCATAGCCGACCCGTGGTCCACATGAGCAAGTGGAGTCACCGACCCAAACCGAACTGAACCAAATCACAACCTAGCAAACCGTGACTACAGAATTCGACCCGCGCGCGGCACTCGGCGTGACACCCGCGACTAGACTTTGTCTGGGCGCGTGGGAGTGCGTGAGTTTCACTTTTTCGTCCGTTCGACCTCTGTTTGCCTGATTTTCATCTCGATTTCAATTCTAATCATTTTTTTATGTGATCTAGGACCTAATTCGAAAAAATCAGTGGACACGCTATTTGTGCAGAAGCGCTAGCAAAAGGGCACGTGTCAACCAGGTAAGTCACCACACGGTATTTAGGAAGAAATACTTTTAGGATTCGTTTGAATTGCATGCATACTAATATATTTGCCTTAGATTAGCTTTCCATGAATTAGATTATGTAAGTTGTTTGTTACGAGCATATTGAGAGAATTACCTGGGTGTTGCTTGTATGTTTAAGCTCCCGCTATATGGATGCACATGTTTAATTCATGTTGAATAGGTGAAATCCGCGTTTCGGACACTTGAGGGATGACATCGCCCCGTTGAGCATGAACTCCGCTTTCCAGGTGCCTGATGGAGACCATCGCCCTTTTGAGTTTGCATGTCTAATCTGCATGAATTATGTGTGATGATGTTAGATGGCGGTTACATGCACACTCTGTTATTTTCCACATTTACCTTAGATTAGCTCTCCATGAATGAGACTAAGCAGATTAATTGTTACGAGTGTATTGGGTTAATTATCTGGGTATTGCTTGCATTCCTTTAGCTTTCGCTATACGTATGCATATGTTTAATTCATGTCGAAATTGTGAACTCTGCGTTCCAGGCGCTCGAGGGATGACGTTGCCCCCTAAGCACGGACTCCGCATTCCGGGTGCTTGACAGAGGCCATCATCCCGTGACGCATGCGTGTCTAGCTTGCATGAGTTATGTATGATGATGTTAGTGACGTTTGCATGCACACTCAGTTATTTTCCATGACCCATTACTTACTATGATAAGCCTAGGGATTTGTGGTTAGGAGCAACAAGTCACTCAGTCTAGGTACAACCTTCCCCCTAGGAACCTAATAGATTACCACGGCGAAGAAGTACCTTGAGTATTCTTAGACTGCTAGTTGCCTAAACGGCCTCTATAGCTTTGTGGGGGGAACCAGAGGTTCCTAACCAGTTCTTACTACTCTTAGCTTTTTTCGCATGGGAAATGTGTCCCACGTCGTACAACCCGTTAGCTACACGGGAATGGGTTGGGCCGCGCCCTCCAGGGGACTGTCATGGGCTTAGGAGGTACTCAGCACACCCCTAGGCTAGATACCATGTAGTCTCAGATAGCCATGCAGAGGTAGCGCCTCATAGAGAGACGTCGTTCATGTCAGCTTAGCATAAAGGACCCTTAAGTATCAAATGAGAGGACGGAGAACCGAGGAAGCTCTATACAGCAAGTCCCAAGGGGCGAGCCCCAAAGGGACTAAGACCAGAACCAGATGGCCTAAAACCAATTAGAATGACCGTGGGAATTTTGTTAAGTTATTTAAGAGCCTACAAGTAGGTGACTTACTGAGTATAATTTTTATACTCATCCCATTCTTCTTTTTTTTTTCCTCAGGTGTTTGCAGGTTGTCGGTCGAGGTAGAGGAGCGTTCGAGAGTTGTATGGTCACAGAGGAGGTCATTCCGGAGCGTCAGTTCCTCTTCGGTCTTTTGGAGTCTTTTGTAAACTTCCTTTATACCTGTATTTCCCCTTATTTTGTAAATTTGAACCCTCTTTTTTAAACATTTGAAAATTACACTTCTCCTTCCTCTATTTTGATTTGACTGGATTTTCTTTTTTATCTTTTACTCTTTTTCTTTCTTTCTTTTTGTTTGTTTTCAATTTCGTCTTTTGGGTCACGGTCCGAGTTTCGAAGCCTAATAAATCGGGTCGTGATAGATGAGGTGTGTCTCCTCTAGAACATACTCACATTTGGTGAAAATCCAACATTTAAAAATAAAAATACGGAGTATTTTCTGACAACGATTCATTGTCGCAAATATGATTTTCTAATCTGTGGTATTTTCGTAATTTCAGTAAAGTTCAAGAGTATTTTGGTAATTTTTTATTATTTTATTATTTTATTATTTTATTGGAAAATCCAAACTTTTCTAAAAACTTTTATTTTTTATTTATTTATTTATTTTTGTTATTTTTTCCTTCTTCACCTTGAACTTTATATGAGATATTGAAATGACTTAGCTTAAGACACTTGTTAATTTTATTTGAGTTACTCTAATTCCTACTTTGGGGATTATAAAAAGTATTCAATAAGTAGCCCCACTTTCGAAGATAGGAAATGAAATTATATTCAATCATGGTTCAAGTTCGAGACATGATTGAATGTGTAATACATCTCTACACACGATTCATGCATGCATGCATGAACCCACCAAACGGCCCATATATGTACTATTGGGCCTAGCTACGGGCTAATGCACGCTCACGTTATTGCCAGAAGCCATAGAGAGAAAGGAGAGAGTATCATATCATTGTGTATGCATCTGTACTAATCTTACTAAAGAAATGTATCAATGCTCATTACATACAACATGTATGAGGTCTCATAGTTTAAAATCATGGTACATAGTTATAATAGAAATTATACTTCATTTCTTTCATGACATAACGTTCCTATGAGACAAACATACATATACTCGATGTATCTATCATGGTTAACATACATACCTAATCGATGTTTGATAGACATAATATGAACATGCTATCATAACATACAGGGCGGACATGCCAGAAGTACATGCATCATATAACATTCATATTATAAAGTAACATAATCATGACCATACATAACGTACCATAACATCATAAAAATATGAAAGGTAAAGGGGCCACATGAGACATGTTATTCATATACCACATGAGTCATCCAACTAAGTTTGTGGGTGTTCCAAGAGTAAAACCACTTACTTGGTTGCCCTAAGTCGAAGTTGGTTCTTAAAGAAAGTAATATCTCCTATATATAAAATTTGAATCATCTCATAGATAAAACTAAAATTAAATTATTAAGATCAAAGATTTAGGATTAAGAATTGGAACCTTGTTCTAAATTGAGTCCCTCCACAATCAAATTTTAAATGACTCGAATGCAATCTGCCCAAAAGAATTACTTGAAAGACAAAGATGATACTCAAATTTCCAAAGGTAAAAGTCTCAACTAGAGATCTCAATTTCATTCTTATAGTCTCTCCTCAAAATAAACTCAACTCTTCAAATGCTCACTCCCCACTACTTTTCAAATGTCCACTAAAAAAAAATATGACCATTTTGACCAGCAACTTCCCACCCACCCTCATGTCTACTGCAACAATTTATGAAATTAAAATAATAAATAAAATTTTTAAATAAATTATTAATGGAAGTGATATTTATAGCAACCCATCCTCCACTTCAACTATGGAAATATTGACAAAATTCCAAATAATCATTCCTCAATCGAATTAGCACATGAAATTGAGGTTGAACCGAGTTTATCCAATTTTGTAGATGAAGAACGAACGCTGTCAAATCTTCTTGATTTTAAATCGTGGAATAGATTCAGTTGAAATGTTTAGAACACCACGATCATTATCACATATTAAGAACAAGAACAAGAACAAGAACGAGAGGAAGAAATTATGGTTAATTTGGGCGAAATCTAATTTATGATAACTAGGTTTATAATGGATGGTTGATGAAAGTGATGTCTTCCCATAGGTTATTAATGATTTCCCAATTTTTGTTTGGCATTTTTGAATTCAAATTTTCTTAAAAAGGTAACCCTCCACAAACCTTTTTCAAGTTTTATTATAAATGTCAGTCTCAATTACATATTTGTGTTAATATGATAGAGAACACTAAAGAAGCATTAAATATTTGTAAACTGAAAATTCTCAAAACAACTATTTATCTTTTTATCTGCCATTATTATTTTAAACTAGAATTTGGCCAAGCCTAATAGAACAGTGTTCTTCATTGTCAATTCCGCCTCCTTAATCCAACCTGCAACCATGGTGTTTTCTCGTAAATGGTCCAATGGAAACCGTCCACGGCTGCTTCGAATTGCCATTTTTCTTTGAAGTTTTGAGTTCTAAAAGGCGATAACAGAAGCAGAAGAAGAACTGAACTGACGCATCTCGCGCTTGCGTAGATCTAAATCAGGCGCCAAGGCATCGTGCAGTGCGAGCTTGTCTTCTTCCTTCTACTTCCATCTTCTCTTTTCAGCCAAGTTGCTGCATGCTCTATTTCATTTGTTTACTCCGCTTTTAGTCGTCAAATCATGACTCTGAAATGGTGCTTACCCTCACTGTCGCTTCACCAGCTTACGAGAACGCCAATGGCCGCGAAATGTGAAGGCCTTGGCCTTGGAGGAGTTTTATCCGATGGAAACTCTGGAGCATTCCCCTCGTTTCTTCCTAAAGAAGTCGGTAAAATCAAAGATCCATTTGCCAGAACCATGGCTAGCAAAATCGAGAGACTACCGGTAAAATGATTTTTTCTCTATCCTTTTCTTGTGTTTTCTTGGACGAAATCAATGGTGCATTGATCTCGCAACGATGACTTTGCTTCTTCAGTTTCTGATTCTGTTTCTTTTTTGTTTTGGATAGTTTTGTTTTTGTCTGCCTTTTAATCGAGTGGTTTGAACATGAAACTTGTAGTATCTACCTTTTTAAACTGCGTGCTTATTTCCGGTCGATTTTTGACAAGGAAGGCCAGCTGTAAGAATCGTTTGCAATGAAAATTTTACTGCTTAGAAACTGGACTCGAAAGCAATTCGCCGTTGTACAGTTGGGATTCCATCTCGAGAGATTTTGGATATGGGTATTCTCTAGCTTGTGACTGGTTGCTTTCCCAATCCTCTGTGTCATTTCTCTTGTTCATTGAAGATCCTTCGCCTTGAGTATATTGTTCTTTAGAGAAACTGTGATAAGAAACTTCCCTTGCATTACAAAGAATGCAAACAAGCAATATAACGCAAATTTATGTTTTGAAATCGTCAAATGGTTAAGGATCTTAACTCCGTCTCATTGTCGGAGCTGATCAGTTCATCTACAATGGTATTCAAGTTTGTTGTTTGTCTTTAGCTACAGGATGGCACGTCCATTGTTTTATTGATATACAGAGTTGTATTTTTAGATATCATTCACCTGAATCTCTCATGTACTACTCAATAACGACTTTTCTTACGCAATTGATTTTCTCCAATTTCACCTTGCGCTTCAATTCCTGCCCCTTCTGTCTTCAAGGTTACTACCAAGCCCAAGCCTGCACAATGATTCTTTATACTAGTTCTTTTTTGCAGATGACATTATCTGAAACTCGCATTATGAGCAGCTGCGTTAAACCAGTAATAAGAAAGAAGAATCCGGTGGTTCTACTCCATTGCTTTGACAGGTATATTATGGAAGTAACGAGATTTAAATTTTTTTTTTTTTTTTAATATGTACTCTTTCCATTTAACATGATATGTGCCGTTTATTTTTGTCCATGCACAGTTCTTGTTTGGAATGGAGTTATGCATTTCCTCTGCTTGAAGAGGCTGGTTTAGAAACGTGGGCTGTCGATGTTCTTGGATGGGGCTTTTCTGACTTGGGTGGGTTCATTTAAGAGTTATTGTTCATTTGGTTATATTTTCTTCTGGCTACTAGTATTTTATAAACTGTAAAAAGGTTTCTCACACATATGTTTCTGATTTTACTTGTGCATACTAGATAGTCTTCCACCATGTAACGTCCAAACAAAGCGTTCTCATCTTTACCAGGTAAATCACTTTACCCTTTTACCTTCGTTTGTTTTAGAAAGATTATTGGTTATTCAATGTCTCCAAAATTCTTTGTGAAGTTTTATTTGTTGTAATGGTTTGAATTTCGCAACAGTTGTTTTAGGCTGTAATTGAATTTGAAATTGGGTTTTAGTTTTGGAAGACCTACATCAAGAGGCCAATGGTGTTAGTTGGACCAAGCCTTGGAGCAGCGGTTGCAGTTGATTTTGCAGTTAATCATCCGGAAGCTGTAAGTTTTAACTTTCTATCTAGCTTAAGAGTAATTCAATGATCTTGACGATTTGTGCATGAAGAATGTGAGTAACCAAATGAGGCCTACAATCAAATTTAGGGCCTTCTCACACAAATTTCCTAAACAAATGCTTGTGTGCATTGTCAGCAATTTCATACCTATTTTATCATATTTATATCAGATGGAGATTTATAGTTGGAAACTGGTTTACTAACATCATCCCTCATGATGCTTTCTAATTCATCCTGATAATATTACTTGCCAAATCACAATTAATAGTTAATGTGAAACATAGTCTTTAAACTTACAGAAATGATGGTCCTTGGAGCCTTAAAATTCTTGATCCTGAATCATCCTCCAGGCTACTAATATATTGTTGATTTGTACTGTTCCTTACGCTTCTTAACTATTTCTTTGTGAGCTGTTAGTTGTGAATTTTTTTTCATGATTCTGTTTCACAGGTGGAAAAGCTGGTCTTGATCAATGCTTGTGTGTATAGTAAATGCACCGGGCACCCGACAAAGCTGCCGAAAGTGGTGGCATATGCTGGGGTAGGCCTCCATGGCACACAACTGAGTACATGCCAGTAATTGATATTCCATTTCTTTTCTCGTACACTTCATCAATGTACAAATTACATTTTAACTATTTTAAACGACTTTTGGAAGATGATAAATTGCGGAATCAACAACTTTTTAGCCTGATGCTCTTCAAGTACTTAAGTTTCCAACTCTTCAATTGTGTCATGAAAAAATATTGTCGGAATTTATGTAACATAGTAAAATACATATGCGGAATCTTCATAGATCAAAATGCTTGTTTTGGAAAGGATGGTAGAGCCTAAAGCTTGTATAGCACTGACAGTTTTTTTTTTCTAACGAATTGTCAGGTTTCACTGTTAAAAAGTATCCCATTGCGCCTCGTTGCAAATAAGTTAATATTCAATGGACTTTCACTTGCTCGAAATCTAGATTGGACGAATGTAAGTTTCTCTTGATGTCCTTTCTGTAAAAGGTTGCTTTTGAATATGTCATTACATAAGGCATATAACCTATCAATCTCATCTCAGACACTTTGATGCTGATGGATGGCTTCTTTCTTTTTCCTGCCCTTGTTTTTCTCATATCTTTTCGTTTACCACGTGAATCATGAAGACCTTTTTTGTAATCTTAAGTCACCTTTGACGAGTGTGAAATATGATCCATCAATTACTTTTTGACAGTAACAAAATGTATGTCATAAATATGAAAGTGAGATATTTCTGTTTAGTTGCTGATTTCATATCTTGTTTAGTGGGTGCGTGATGACGTGACAATCTACTTATAATGTTATTATACGGATTAGGTTGGCCGTTTGCACTGCCTATTGCCTTGGTGGGAAGATGCAACGGTTAATTTTATGAACAGCGGAGGATATAATGTCATTTCCCAGATTAAACAGGTATATCCATAAATACCCATTATGATGCTGCAGTTTTAACTCCTTTTTGGATCTCTGTCATTAAATTGAGTTCCTTTTGCTGAAATTTTCTGGGAAAGTTAACTCAAGTTTTCCATCAGTATTTCCAACGACTCAATGGAAAGTAAATCTCAAGCTTACATTTGAACTTGTATTTTTCCATTTTCCTTTCAAAACTATTGTTACTTTCAGGTACAATCTAAAAATGTTTACTGACCCGATCACAGTGGTTTTGGGGTTCTTTAGGTTGAAATAAAAAAGCATGGTTACAAACTAAAGAATTTTTCAAATAATATCAATTGTTGTAGTTCAAATGAATAGTTTCTGTCCTTGCTGTAAGTTAACCATCTACATTGTTCTCTGTACTTGAATCAATAGGTCAAGCACAGAGCACTTGTCATTGCGGGCGAAGATGACAGAATTATTTGCTATAAAGATGCAGTGGTGAGTTTCGTTTTTAATCAAAAGAATCCATGTCTTCTGTTAAATTGCTTAGTTTTGCCATTTGTGATGTTAATGTATCTTTCCTCCATGCTTTTGATTGGGATTCCCTCCCAACGATACTCAACCGTATGTGTTCATTGTTTGAACTGTTTTTTTTCCAACCAAATGTGCATATTTCTTGTGAGAGAAAGAAAATAGAGAGTTTGATAGTGATTTTGTTTGGTTTTTTTGATTTTGCAGAGATTGCATTGTGAGCTACCAAATGCAATAATGCGAATAATAACAGATAGTGGCCATCTGCCCCATGTTGACAATCCTGCTTCTGTTTCAAAGCTTATTACAGATTTTGTGTTACATGATTCCTGCTAGGAATTCTTCACACACGTAAAAATATCCTTCCATAAGGATATATATATATATATATATATATATATATAGATATATATATATATAATATCTACCACTCTCTCTCTCTCTCTCTCTCTCTATATATATATATATATAATATCTACCACTCTCTCTCTCTCTCTCTCTCTATATATATATATATATATAATATCTACCACTCTCTCTCTCTCTCTCTCTCTCTATATATATATATATATTATGCTAAAAGTTCAATGATGAGAAATAAGTTAATATACTATTTTGGTTGTTGAATTTTGAGTTGTTTTGAAGTAGCATTTAATTTCTCTGTGATTGGTAGCCACTTTAATGTTGGAGAAAACTGGAGAGAAAGGATCCCTTCTAAGCACACTAGTTCTGCTCACAAGTTCGAGAATAGATATATGATAATAGATCTTATTCTATCGATGATAAGATATTTCTTTATGAACAATACGAATCAGAGTTTGAAGCATGGGAATGAGAGAAGTCCTTGACCCACTACAGATGGATGAGGCTTTATTCAATCACATAGTTTGAGTTCTTAAAATATGGCACCCTTGGGGCTTTCTATTTGATTGTATTGAAAGGTCCAATGAATTGGAATTTTCCTATTGGACTAGGTCATTTAGGGGCAAACGGATTTTTATGATGAAGAGTATGAGCTTCAAGAGAATGATTTGGAGTTCTTGCAGAGTGGAATCGTGCAGTACCACAAGATAGATCTTTCAAAAAAAAAAAAGATTTTATTTTTTGAATAAACCAATTCATTTGGAACGGATCATTTTATAAGTTAATAAAAGTTGTTTTGCCATCAATGAATCCTGTGAAGGATCCAAGTAATCTTGTTAAGAAACTTATTTAACATGCTAAAGAAACAACATTAGAAGTTAGTGTGTAATGATTCCCCTAGCCTAACATTTCACTTCCACTTTCGCTTTTCTATGCCACTGATTTCGCTTTTCTTCATTGTTATTAGTACCTAAACACTCATATCTTTGGGCAGAATGTAAGAGTCTAATCCTGATAAAAATTAAATAACCAATTTTTTTTTTTAAAGTCGAACTTTTGAAATTTTATTAAGAGTTCGAGGTTGAATTTTAAGATGATGTAATGGAAAAAAATTCTTAGAAAAATCTCAAACATCCGAAGAAAAATATAAAAAAAATTGGTCAAAGTCAATCTTGGAGAGTATTTGGGTCATTTTGGCCTTTTAACTTATGATAAAATAATTTGAAGATCAGTGGAAGAAAAAAAAAAAAAAAAAAAAAGAAAGAAGAGAAGGTTTTAAGAGAGAGAAAAAGGTATCGTCGAACTTGGGAACTTGCTCCGTTCCAGCCACAAGGAGTTGTTTTATGGCCACAGGTTGTTCATGAAACTTGCTTAGAAGGTTGAGGAAATTCAATATTGACATTTCAATTGTCCAAATCGAAAAAAAAAAAAAGAAGATCGAGAAGTAAGAATTTCAACCTTTATATATATATATTAGAAGCGCGAGATTCTTATAGAATTAGGTTATAGAATCGAGTTACGTAGAAAAAGATAAAAAAATTAGAAGAAATTAGGCTTAAATCTAGAAACTAATTGGGAAGATCGTTGTAGACGAACATACATCACGCGAGTAGTGGAGGAATGTGACAAGCAATGAGCGTGACATGTGTCGACCATTAGAGGAGGAAACATGTGTTGCCATCACGTTAATCTAGAGAAAAATTGTGGGAAGCGCTTCAACAAAGATTCAAACCTTGGAACAGATGCTCAAAGGCACCAATTATGAGGCGTAACATGTCGCAACAATGGGCTGATAAGACCACCCTAATACTACGTAACTGTTAAGCAAAAACCCTTGTATCAAAGAAATTAACACTTTTTATATAAAATTCGGGATTAACCAAGAGATAAAGACTAAAATTAGATTAACTCAGAAACAAGATTTGAAACCTTGTTCTAAATTGAGTCACTCCACAATCCAACTTTATCGAACTTTATCAAGACTGGATTGAATGACTCAGATCGGATGCAATCTACAACAAAAAATTAATTGAAATTTAGAAATGACAAAAATGATGCTCGTATTTCGAAGGGAAAAGTCTCAAATTAAGAAATCAATTTCTTTCCTTATGATCTGATTTGTACCTAATAATTTGTGGGTATTTATAGTCTCTCAGAAAAGAAGTTAGTGGCAGTGATTTAATCTCGGTCCCCTTAAATCTCGATAGAACATTAAAGTCAATTTGATCCTTACAAACTTTATGAAATTAAAAAATAATAAATAAAGTTTTCTAACTACTCATGAAATGATGCTTGCAACTTCATCCGCTACAACTCAACCGTGCAAATATTCACTTATGAAGCTCCAAATGGTCCTTTCTCAATTGAATCAGCTTGTAACACATGAAATGATGGTTGAACCGAACCTATCCAATTTTGTAGATGAAGAATGAATGGTTGTTAAATCTTCTTGGCTTTGGGATCGTGTAATAGGTCCAGTTAGAACATTTGGAACACCATGAATCTTCTTGGTCTTGAATCGTATAATAGGTCAAGTTAGAACATTTGGATCGTGTATCGTTCCATCAATCTATCATCATCCTATCCCTTTCTATCATAACCTAACTATATTCTTTTATCAATCGATTACGACCATATCATTTTATCAATCTCGAATCCATAACACTTCGATACGTAACCTAAACTTAACGTTTCATGAACATTTCTTACTCCTATCATTACATTACGTTTAGTGCATTCTTCTCGTATCCTATCTCAAACATATCATTGAACACATCATACCATAAGTATTATCATACAATTCACATATTATAACATATACATAACATAACATAAGCATATCGATTTACAAATAATTCACACATATCAATATATATGACACGTGCAGAAGTACGAACACGTGTCAACATCATAACCATACCGATGGTAAGACCACTTATTTAATTAGCTTAGGCTGATGTCATGAAGTTATCTTTAATGAAAGTTCGATTCTTTCCATTGAAATCCAAGTCCTATGACATCAGTTCAAGTTTGAACTTCCACAAAATTATTTTCTAAGTTACATTGGTCCATGTGTACTTCAGGCGAATATAAGAGTGTTTGTATGAGTTAAGTCTTGAATATCTATATAGGCTTGTTGTAGTATTATTTTCATACAAACATAGAAACCATTTAATACCCTTTAACATTTTTCAGTTATTCTATTTTTTTTTCTTAACGTGTTTAATACCCTTCAACATTTTATAGATATTTTCTTTTCCACTACTGTGTTTCTTTTTTTTTTTCTTCTTTTAATTATATTCACAATTTTTAGTTATATTCACAATGTTTCCTTCTTCATTCACAGTGAATTTTAACCAATTTTTTAATCCAGGTCACCAAATTTTATACCTAGCCTTATCATATCGTATTCTAGATTAAAATAAACATAGAACTAAGTCAACAATCATGCAGTCAACTGTAACATAGTCAATGTTACCAAATTCCATCCTAAGTTACATTTGATAATAGTCAATCAATAACGATATATGCAATCAGTGACAATTCTTTTTCTTATCTTATGCATGACATACCTGACGGTGATGGGGCGTCGGCGGTGGGACTGTGGAACATGCAAAGTCTAGACTAGTCTACAGAATCTATAACCTAGAGCTCTGATACAAACTGTAACGACTCAAGATTTATACTTACCTAAAGTCGCCACCGTCATCATAACATAATCATTTTATGCGGAAATAAACGTCTAAACTTTATCATAAAACATAAAACATCATCCTAAAATACTACCATTGAATTACTTGTTCGAAAACATCTTTAAAATGACACGACGAAATACTAAATGAAATAAGTACAATTATCCTACGCATGTGCTATGGTATCGTATTGCGATGTCGTCGTTAGCGGTACAGGAATGTCTTGCCTAGACCTATCATATTAGTCTATATTCCTTAGGCGGGTATCCTGAACGTGGATGTGTAATTATTGCTCTACATATGCTCCACACTTGCGTGGATGTGGAGCCATCTGTCGGTTTGCACACCTCCTTGACAACTTTTTTTCGGGCGAGAATTCTCTTGTAGGTGTTGATGTCGGACACTCGTTTAAAAATAGCAACCGTCGCAACGTTAGGATAAATATAATGAATCTTTTCCTACTTGACCGTCGCAACAGTATGATAAACATAATGATCGTTTTCCTTTCTCGTAACGTATACGTATGTACCATCATCAAAAGTGGGTGTTCCTCGATGCACGTACACATAATGGTGCAAGAGGTCCCAACATTTTTCCTTTTTCATTATCAGGTATGAAAACTCCCTCTCGCGTTTTCCTTCATATCATATCATTATCATCTCATTGCATGTCATGCATGTCACATGTATCATATCATAAGTATATCGTGTGTCCCAACATATCATTTCATCATAAAACATATCACAATATGCGTCGTATCGTCAAACATATCGTACCATAACATATCATAGTCATATCATTTCGCCAAACGCATCGTACAATAACATATATCATATCATAACATATATAAATTATTCACGTATCATATCTCAAATATATCGTCAAACACATCATACCATAACATATATCGTATTATTAGCATAACATATCATAGTCATATAATTTCGTAAACGTATCATAGTCATATAGACTTATTAAAGTCATATCAGATCATAAACATATCTTGATCATATCATTTTATAAACACTTCACACATATCAAACACATACTACGTGGAGAACCAGGGGGAATGTGTCATCATTCAACATCAATTTCTAACCATATCGATAGTAAGACCACTTACCTAATTAGCTTATGCTGGTGTCACCAATTTGTCCTTAATAAAAGTTAGATTTTGTCCTTTGTATCCCAGACAACCTATGTGCACCCATGACATCAATGTGCTAGATTTCCTATGCGAGCATCCTAGACTTTGCATGAGTTGAGTCATCGAATACGATATATATATATATATATATATGTGTGTGTGTGTGTATGTATATATATAATTGTATTTT